GTGCAATAATTGAGTCTACATAATAATTATGAAATTATCAAAATTATGCAGTCCTTGATCTCAAAATACTAACAGAAGAAAACTTTGAGGAGAATCCTAAAAGTAATTTGTATAATTTATTATGTAAAATTGGAACATTAAAAGCAAAAATTATATTTATTGATTTATGGTTTAAAAAATTTTTGTAAGCATATTTATAAAATATATCCATCTAAATGCACATAAACATGATTCAAGTATGTTATAAGAGACAAAATAATTCATTTTGACAATTTTTACATATGATCAAATGTGAAATATTTTTAAAATACTTACTTGTCTACTCAGACAGGTAAAAATAAGTTAGAATCAGAAAAGTTTTACAGTTATTGCTAACTTGAGGCACAGTTTAAAACTCACATGAAAAAATTTATATTTTTGAGTGGTATGTATTTATACAAATAATATTGAACTGAAAAGGATAGAAGAAATAATTGAATAATGTTCAATCAGGCAAGGTTTGGTTTTTCTCTAGCAGAAATTTCTGAGAATGGGATGGTTGCCTGTGACTGGGGAGCCTAGTTCTTTCTGTGCTGTTTATGTGAATAAATGAATAAAAATTACTAGTTCAACTGTGGTGCAAACTTGAAAAAAGAAAATATATTTAATATTCTGTGTCTATATTCAGTAATAAGGCCTTTCTACACATTTCATAAAAGCACTTAATGTATGTGGAGATATGTAACTGGAAGCTCTTTTGTTGAAAAAAAGTCTGTGAAGTTTCTATGGATCTTGAATTTTTTTAATGATTATTTGTCCTCAGAGTGTTAAGCTGTGTATGAATTAGATAACCCAGGTGTAATATTCACTTATCACAAAAAATGTTTGACATGTGAACAATCAGATTTTCTGCCAAAATAACCAGTATAAATATTTTCCTCATTAAAAAATAAGCTTGTACAGATGGTAGAAAAAGTTCCAACATTTTACATGCTCAAATAACTCTTTTCCCATGAATTGATCAAGTTCAAAATATTAAAGTATGTAGTTATAAATGTAGGTAGAAAAGGGTGGTAAGTTTAGAAAGATTGGAAATAGTCCTTAGGTTACAAAATCATGAAAACAAATATATTAGCAATATAATTGGACAATCATATTGAAAAAAGGGTTTGATACTTCAGAAAAATAAAGACTTGAGGGGAAATATTTTAAATATTGATTTAAATTAATCACATTTAATTTAGAATTCCATAAGTGTTTTCTCAGTTGAAGTANATTTTAAATATTGATTTAAATTAATCACATTTAATTTAGAATTCCATAAGTGTTTTCTCAGTTGAAGTAAGTATCCAATGTAGGGAAGTAAAACCATGAAGAATTAAATGAACATAAAATAAAATAAGTCAATGTGTTCCATTTTCTTAATATGCGATTTTTATTAGACTACATTTCAGACTTGTCAAAGATGTTAAATGTTGGCAAGGATGAAACTAATTTTTTGTTATTTTACCATATTCTAAATCATTTTGTATTTTATCCAACAGTGGTTAAACAATAATCAACTCAAATTTATGTTCTCAAAATACGAACTCAAATTATAAAACTGACCCCTTAGATCAGGTTGTCAATGGTATTTATCCATCACAGACTGGCTTTCTTCTTATTAAAACTGGGTAAATTTGTCCAGATGCTATCTGACCCAAGTTGTATTTTACCATTGCCTTCATGATCAGAATAATCTGGCTTTCATTAAATTCTAGGTTACGTATACAAAGTCTCCTCCTTTATTAAAGTATACACTTTCCCTGTGTTATAGAACTGCTATTTAAACCTACCAGTTCTAGCTGAGGAATGGCCTCTTCAAAAATACGTAGACACAGTTAGATTCTGAATACATATTTATCTTTTTGCCTCTGTGTGTATACACGATAATCATTTGCAGGTCAGAAAATAAAGGACACAAAACAGATACATAAGGTGGAGACTAGTGATTAACCCCCAGAGGGAATTATTAGCATAAAGGTGCTAGTTAGTTGTCTCTCGAGTTCAGAGCAAGGACTTAGTCTCTCATTATTTAAGTTGATTATGATTTCACCAAGTGTATGAGTTGTGTGGAGTCTCCTCTCCCTAATAAGTGCTTTCCGGAAAAAAGCATTAACTTAAGTGTTTTGGTTGGTAGAGGGTAAGCAATTTTATGAAAATAGATCTACAATAGATGATGGAGTTGAGAAAACTATAATTCTATTCATTTGACTTTACCAATCTGAATACTTATAACTTGATAATTGAATGCATTTATTCAATTAAAATTAAAATCAATAGATCCACACAGAGCAAGGCATATAAGGAAATTCATAGACTACAGACTAGTTCTTAGCACGGAGAAAACTTTCCTTTTACTCTGTAAGGGAGTAAGAGAGAGAAAGAAAGCAGCACATACACTCAAGGGCTAGGACGAGCAGAGGAGGCCTTCACCAGTGAAGGGACGTGAAGACGCTCAGTCGTGTCCGACTCTCTGCGACCCCATGGGCTGTAGCCCACCAGGCTCCTCCATCCATGGGATTTTCCAGGCAAGAGTACTGGAGTGGGTTGCCATTGCCTTCCCCAGAGGATCTTCCCAACCCAGGGACTGATCCTGGGTCTCCTGCATTGTAGGCAGACGCTTTACTGTCTGAGCCACCAGGGAAATCCCTGGCCTTCACCAAGATAATCAATAAATGATTTATGGTAATCAATAAGTGATTAGTTGGTGGAGTTTAGCAGATCTCGAATTTCATGCAGTCTCTTACAATTATGTTTAACTTCATGATGGCTTAACAGTATTAAAGGAATATTATGGAGGTGAGTACAGTAAATCTTTTATGGTAAAACATAGTTAAGCAGGTAAAATTCGATGGGCTATCTGAGTAGCAGTACATGGCTGCAGGGGATTTCACCTGTTGAGGAATTTTTCTGTCTTTATTCTTATATGTAACTCTGCCATGTCTCCTCAATTACAATCCTCTTGAAAAGGTTACAAGAAAGTGAGGGTTGTAAATATATGATAAATATGATTTATTTCCAAAGCCCATAGTAGATATTGCTAAAGATTTCTTATTCTTTCTAACTGAATCTCAGAATTTTTTTCCATGTGGTTCCCCAGGCAACTGCTAGCAATTAGAATTGTCATTAAAAAAATATTTCAGGTAAGGAGATACATACCACAACATACCTTTGAGGAGATGTTCACAAGAGAGGAGAGCAGAGCATTCTTAAAAATAGAAATCAGAAGGATAATATGAGCACAATATTGATATCCAGATGAGATTACACATACTAGTTGTTAAGGATGGTACACATATAGTTTTTCAGAATAAACTGAAATATTAGGTGCACTATGTCTAAAGTCAAACTAAAAACAGGGCAGTGAATAGTTTCTTATCCTGTTCGTGATGCCAATTGTGTCGCTATTCATACTGTGTGCACTGTTCCTTGAACCCACGGTAGACGAGGTGCAAGCGGGGAAGCTGGAAGGAGACCGCAGCACGACCTCTCTCTTGGCTGGCACAGCGGCCATAGTGTATTCTCTCCTGCCTGATGCGGCGGTGGAAGCAGCAGACGCGCTATCTTCTCTCCTCCCGTGGCTTACCCAACGGACACAGCCGCGATGCAGCAGCAATGCCACTGCGTTCTAGTTGGAGTCCATATATCTGATTCACACGAAGCAGCCCACAGGCAAGCAGCACCTCATGATGTGAATGCACAGCCTCCAAGTGATCAGAGCTGTTACATAATCATTATTTGCAAAATGTGGGGCGAGAGCAGGAGGCTGTAGGGTGAGAGAGCCTGACCGTGTCATATGTGCTAATTTGCAATTTCCCTACAGGCAGATACAATCTAACACAGGGGAAAAAACAAATAAGATGAAAATAAGGGGAGAAAATACGCCTTATTCCAGGTTCCTTGTTTTGCAATATGTTAATACAATACATCAAAAGAGGTGGTCTTGAAGATGTTTGCATAATTTAGGTTTCCAATAAGTCTTTAGAAGGACTCTTTGCAATGTTTCCATAAACTTACTGAATCATTGATAAATTCAGATTTGTAACCTGAAATAGCACACTATTTTCTCTGCATTCATTTCTATTACAATTTATGCTCCATTTAAAAAGACAAACCTTCATGACACTTCAGAAGATTGTTCGATCTATTCTCAAACCTCCCATTCTCAAAACTCTTTAATTGCTTTATATTGCTAAAAACTAGGATTCACGAGGCCTGAATACTCTACCTCTCTATATAATCTCTGCACAGATCTTTCTTCCTTTTATCTATCAACCTCCCTCATAAATGTCTGTCTTTGGTACCTAAAATGACTTTCTCACTTTACAATATCCAAATAAAATGGCCTTTCTGCCTGGAATGCTCTTTTTCCCACTCAAATGTCTATTCTTTAGCTTTCTTAATGCGTTTCTGTGAAGACTTCTGTTTAACATGATCTAACATCACCACGCCTAATATAGATGTCTCCTCATTATCCTCTGCAGGGCAGAGAACAGTGTTGTGTGATAACCATGTATGTGTATTATGTACTTTAAAATTCATAAGGGTTCCCTTGAATTTGAAGATAAGGAGGTGAAGGAGGAAATGAATGCAAGCTAATTTATGTATTATGTTTGTGCTAACAATATTTTCCAATAAAATAAAAAGATACTGTAATATTCCTCACATTTTGTAAGGTGGAAATTCAATGTTATTTAACATTTGATTTCAATTATTTGATGAAATATTTAAATGGTCTTCCCTGGTGTCTCAGTGATAAAAAATCAGCCTGCCGTTGTAGGGAACATGGGTTAAATCCTTGGATAAAGAAGATCTCCTGGAGGAGGAAATGGTAACCCACTCTATGGACAGTGGAGCCTCTTGGGGTTGCAACGACTTCAAGGGGTTGCAACGGGTCGGACAACACTGAAACTAAACAATAACAATAACAACCCCCAAACTGCAGAAATCAAAAAACGATCGTATACAACAGACAATACTTAGGGGGTGAGCCAGGAACCAATGTGCTGGTTGCTCAGTCTCTTAATGGCTGCCTTCATTTGCTGATTCCTAAGAGTATAAATAATTGGATTAAGGAGAGGAGTGATGATAGAGCAAAATACAGAAAGAAATTTATCTACAGAGTAACGATTAAATGGGAAAGCATAGATGAAGATGGCAGGGCCAAAGGAGAGAGTGACTACAGTGATGTGAGCAGAGAGTGTAGACAGAGCCTTAGAGGATGCACTGGAGGAGCGCTGCCAGATGGTGACCAGCATGACAGCGTAGGATATGAGAAGGAGAATGAAGCAGATCAGGGACAGAAATCCACTGTTTACAATCACCAAGAGCTCTAGGATATAAGTATCAGTGCAGGCAAGCTTGATGACCAGGGGCAGGTCGCAAAAAAAGCTGTCCAATACATTGGGACCACAGAAAGGTAAATTCACAGTGAAAACCATCTGGCTTGTACTATGGATAAGCCCAATCACCCATGAGAGCAGCAGAAACCCAGTGAGCACCCTGTGACTCATGATGGTCTTGTAGTGCAAGGGTTTGCATATGGCAACATACCTGTCAATGGCCATAGCTATCAGAAG